CTGCCCTAGCTAGCCCACTTCTTGAGCTCTGTGAGCGACAGACAAAAAGCTACTCTGCAACCACTTGGCAGGTAGGAATATCCCTTTTGTTTTGCAATGAGACATAACCCTTTGTGGACAAATGGCAGATGAGGAGCAAAGCAGTGACACCTGGGGACAGTAATTAAGATCCATTCCCAGCTGAGCCTCAGCAGGGCCTCGCTTGGAATCTCTCTGTGATGCCGGAAACCCAGGCTGCAGTCCTCCAAAAAGACAGTACCTGCTGTTGATCTTCTCTAAAGTCAAAACAAATGCTTCAGAAGTTAAAGTTGCAATGGACTCTCTGTTCCTGCTGCCCACAGTTTTTGCTGTGAGCTCGTAGCTGAGGGGGTCTGGGTTGGGCTGAAAGAGTGTTGAGGTGAAACTGTTGTATGCTCACTCATGGTGTTTCTAGGAACATGCAGGTCCCTGCAGAAGCTCGTCGCACAGCTTTGGAGCAGGCTGCTTGCCCTGTGCCTGAGACCGCTGTGTGGGCAAGTGTGTCTGTCAGTCAGTCTGTCTGTCTCCTAGGGATGCTGTGGGGAAGACACAGCGGAATTCAGAGAGTGTCATGGTGAGGCAGTGTTAGGTGACTTAAGGTGGGAGTCCCTTGAACCCCATATTAGGATTTTGAAATAAGCGTAACTTTTCTGATGATTGTATGTATGTATGTCCATGCATGTTTGTGGGGGTGCCTGCATGTATGTGTATGTATGTGTGTATATGTGTGTGTGCTCATGCATGCACATGCACACACATTGTGTGTGTGTTTGTGTGTGTGTGTGTGTGTGTGTGTGTGTGTGTAGGCCAGAGGTCACCTTGAAGTGTCATTCCTCAGGATGACTTCTGCTGTGATTTTTGAAATCGGGTCTCTTACTGGCCTAGAGCTTGGCACCTGGGCTAAGCTGGACTGTCCAGTGAGCCCCAGGGATCCACCTATCCCAGCACTTCGATTGTATGTCTGCACAGCACACCTGGTCTTTTCTTTTCTTTTTTAGATATCAGTTCTGGGTACCAAAGCCAGGTTTTCAGGCTTTACCAACTGAGCCATCTCCCCAGCCCGGCAAGTTTATAATTAACAACATTTTTGTCGTTTCTTTCCAATTGAAAAGAAACATCCTGCACCCCAAGCTGTCTTCACGGAGGTTTACAGTGAAGCCAACGGTGTTTCCAGGTGCATGATTAGAACATAGCAAGGTGTACAGATACATTTTTCCACTTCTGGGAAACAGGCCTCCATCACATGCCGATTCTGATAAAACACAAACCTACACAACCACTAGCATTCATCTGGGCTTTGAAGGGATGTGGTGACCAGAGGCTCTGGGGTTTCTGCCTTTTTGGGGCTGCTCTGGTATTTCTTGGGACTCCTTTGCTGTGTAAGGAGCCAGCCTGGCATGGGGCCTGGGCTGTGCTTGTTCTGAGAAAGGATGCAACGGAGCTCTGAGCAAGTCCGAGAACCCTCTAGTGAAGCTAACTACCAACATTATTCAGAGCCCGCTGGGCAGCACGGTTTGTACCTAGCTTCTGATCATCCGACAACCTGGGTGTTAGTGATTGCTTCTCAGTGAGAAGTCGCCGGCATCAGGAGTAGAGCAATGGTGTGAACACAAAAATGAGGACAGCTTCACCACAGCCACTGACTGGTTGTAGGGGGAAGCCATTCTTGAGCCACCATGAGGCAATTTGCCTGGAGACTGATGTGCTGATTTCAGCAGTCATTCGTTCTTCAGGCCAAGTTGGGGAAGACACTGCTCATAGCCACTGATATCAACTTTGGACTTCTTTCCTGAGGCGTCCAGCCCTTGAAACCCAGTCTTGGAATTTCCCAACCCTATGCTGTCCCTTGGGGGCTTTTTCAGAAAGTGTACTGAGTAGGAGCACCTTGCTACAGGGTGTAGCTTTTTTTTTTCAACAGTTTCATACATAGAGGTGTATAGCATGGTGTATTGATACATATCCCCATAGTGAGATTTTTACTTGGGCTGAGCCACGAACATTTCCGTCTCCGCGTAGCCGCCCTTCATCAGAGGTGAGAGTTGAAATCTGCTTTTGGCAAATGTTAAGGACACAGCCTAGCACTTCTAACTGTACCCTTCCTCAGGCTTACAGAAGATCCCCAGTCTTGTTTACCATGCCTAACAAGTTTGTGTTCTTTGACCTTCATGTTCCCAGTTCTCCACCTTCTGGCTCCTGATAACCTCTGTTCTATTCTGTTTCTATGGAATATGTACATACATATATACACATATATGTATACATATACGTGTATACATATACACATACACATATATGTATATACATATATACATACATGTATGTATGTATATATGTATATATACAAATATATATGTATATATATACATATGTATATATGTGTGAATGTATATATATACATATATATACATATATATATACATATATATATACATATATATGTGTGGATGTATATATATATACACATATATATATACATATATATATACATATATATATACATATATATATATATACATATATATATATATATACATCCACACATATATATCCACTTACTGGTGAGTTCACAGTCATGCAGAGTTTTCTGTCTCTGGTGTATTTCATTATTCATGATACCCTTGGTGTTCATCCATGTTTTTGAAAATGGCAAAGTTCTCCCTTGTAAAGTCTGAGTGATATTCCATGGTATATGGCACATTTCCTTTACCCGCTCATCAGTTAGACAAACACTTCATATACTTTTTCCCACAGAAAGGGTCTCCCCTAGTTACAGCACTCACAGCAGCACAGGGGTTAGGGACCCTCAGGCAGACAGTTGAGCTTGTCAGTCCTGGAGGCCACAGGGTACCCTTCCCTTTGGCCTCACGAGAACCAGAGGCAAGACAGTGACATAGAGGAGGGACTAGGCAAAGGAGAAGCCCATACCGTAGCATCCTGGAGTTCTCTGAGGTATGGACGTGGGTACCTTTTCTCTGTCATTCCTGGTCGCCAGCATCCTTGCTGGCCTTCTTACTTGCCTCCTGGGAACCTGTGGATGACTGGTCTGGACAGAGAGCCCTCTGTGGAAACAGAAATAGCGGTGCTCGGGATTCTTGTGCCGTGCCGTGGGCAGTGCAGAGGAGGCCATGAGGCAGCCCAGCGAACCCTTCCAGGCAGCAAAAAGCTCCTCAGTGTTGAAGTCAGAACTCAAACTACAGGTTCTCCAGTGCCTGCCTAAAGAATGCTCTCATTACCCACCATTTAACTGTCGGATCTGTCTCTGGGTCCTTCCCTGCCACGTCATGTTCCAAGCTCCCTGCTTCAGACCCTACTTCCTAGACCCCTGTAGGAGCCTGTCTCCAGTGTCCCCTTCCCTCTCTCTGCCCTGGAGGAAGTTGCTTTGGTTCTAGCATCTCCAACATAGACCTCCACCGTTCTGCTTTCTCCTGGGACCCCAACAACCCCTTCTTCCAACCAGCCAGGAGTGGCAGTGGCCTGCTCTTGCTAACCTTGAAACTTCCCAGTTGCCGTCACCATTTCTCTACCGCCTCATTGAGATCCCATGATGCTCAGGTCCTAGCCAGCCCCACTGACCCACTGTTACACAATGGCTATGAGCCTTAGCAGCATTCCTAAGAGCAGCTGCTGGCTTTCATGGGTAGTCTGAGATGAGAAGGGACTTGCTTGGAACCGCTGGCTGCTCCCTCCCAGTCACTTTTTGCTTCTTTTAGCTTGTCTCCTCATCTTTAAATGAGCTGCTGAGATCCACATTGTGCCATTGTCTGCAGGACTAGAGATAGGTGCCCAACAAGGGCACACTTTGGGACACCTCCATCTTATTATGCAGCCTGAAGAACACACACCAACAGGGAGTATCCTGTATGCTCTGGGAGAGCCTTGGCCAGTTTGAGGGGCAGTGCGTAGTGCCAGGGGGTTCTGCACTAGCCAGAGTATTTGGTTCTCCCACGAAGGGTCACAAAAATCGCCTCACTTTTGGGTTTGTCTGTCTTGGTTTTCAGCCTTTTTAACAGTTTCTGGGGTGTGATCTGAAAGCCAGGCATTGGTAGCCTGCAGTTTGATTGTTTCCCGAGGAGTGTTTAAGTGGCACGCTGTTTAGGCCTGAGTCTTCTGCAGACAAAGGATCTCTTTGTGGCATGAGATGAATAAATGTCAGACTCCACTAAAACCCATCTGTCCAGTGTCAGACATGTAGCCAGATGTAGCCAGATCCACCTCTGCAGCCCTGGGGTGATCTCACGGTGGGAGACTGAAGACAGCCTTCTCCCCTAGCATCGTAAAACATGGGTCAGAAAACGCTTAAACATCAGCAGTAGCAGAATGAGATGGAGGAGAAGATCAGGCCTTACAGAGGGTTAAGTGACACATTTAAGGTCACACGGTATATTGACAGAAGAAAGCCTAGGCCTTCAGGCTCCTAATTCTTGTTCCCATTGCCCTGGTGGCACCTGTGGGGTAGGAGGAACACTGCAAACAGAAGTAGGAGAGTTCCTACACGCTTATCACCGGCCAAACCCCAGCAGGACGTGAGGTGAAGTGAGGGCCCCCTCCCCGATTTAAACAGTCTCAGATGACTGCTTTGGTCACAGAGGCAGACTTGGCACCACTTGGTGCCACTGGGTAAAGATTCTGTCCATAAATATCTTAATTTTATTTACTAGGTTGTCTGGCACATAATGGCATGCATTATTAATAGGCTGGCTTAATACTGCCTATTAAATAGGCGTGCTTGTCACACTGTGAGATGAGCCTCACTTTTACTATGCGCTTTACAACACCACATGACAGCGTCCGTGCTCAGAATATCCTAGCAGGCTTCCGCTGACCTTCCGTGGAGACCTACGCTGTCTCTGATTCCGTGCCTTGGTGTTTGGCGTGTTAGTACATCTAAAAGTAGCTGCGGTTGGTCATGCCTGCCTTGTGTCTGAAGGGCTCCTCCAAGGAGCATATGGTTCTCAAACTCTTATTCTCCCCAACTGCCCAAGTTTGTCCACTACCTCCTATGGTGAGTCACGGAGATTTCATCTGCCACCCGAGGCCTTGTGAGCGCTACAACCACGGAACCGTGGTAGAGTTCTACTGTGATCCTGGCTACAGCCTCACCAGTGACTACAAGTACATCACCTGCCAGTATGGAGAGTGGTTCCCTTCCTACCAAGTCTACTGCATCAAATCAGGTGAGACCGCAGGCTGTACCCCTTGGGCAGGCTGTGGCCAGGCTGTGTCCCGAATGGCATCCACTCCCATCCTACCACGAGCCTCAGGGCCGGGCTGTAGAAATTCACAATTTTGGATACGGCTGGGTGGCTGTGTTGGACTCTGCCAAGGGATTCCAGGCCTTTTTCAGAGGGTCAGGAATCATAGCTCTGGCACCCACAGGGAAATTCAATGTCTTCAGTTTCTCACAGCGTTGGTGCCTCCCCCTGCCAAGGATGCAGGCCCATGGGTGTAACCAGAATTATGTGCATGGCCCTGGGAACTGAGTAGTGCATAACCCACCCTTCTCCCACTGTATGAATAATATTGTTGTGTGTAAGAACTGATCTCACACAAGCGGAGACTGTACACAAGCCCCGCTGGTAAATGACGTGTGACGTGGCCATCCTTCCCATAGGTCCCAGCACACCCAGGAAATGGCCCCATAGAGGAGCCCTGCTGTCAGCACACACCCTTCACCTGTTCTTTCAGCTTCTGCCCACTCTCTCTAGCATTTCCCAGGCCATAGCTGTGGCTGCTGCCCCAAGCCCCAGTGATGGTTGGATGCCACTCTTCTGGGCACAGATGTGGTGCTGGGTGTCTTGAGGGACACAGACGTCATGTGAACCAACAAGAGGAGAGGCACTGAGTCTAAGAGATGACTATTGAGTGCGATAATGGGATACGGTATGCTGGGAGTAAAAGGATGAGAATCCATCCTAGAATGGTCTGCTCTTACCTGGCAGAAACCACAGAGAGTACAGTGATGGCCAAGGAGTGCTGTACCCTCAGCCTTCATCGCCCTTGCTTCACTCCATCCTTCACCCCAGAACAGTGCTTTGGGCCGTACCAGAACAGGCTCTTCAGTGCAGAAGGACACCTTTTGCTCTCTTCCCAAGAAGCAATTCATGGTTGTCTTGTCCTGTGCTAGGTTCTCCTGCCCAGACTGCAACATGATCACGCGTGTCTACAAGTACATCATGTGCCAGTGTGTCTCCAACCCAGAAGGACCCATGCTGGAAATAGGTTTTAGTGTTGTGTGGGTCCTCACGTGATTTACCAGCCCTACTGGAGCATTGGTGTGTCTGTTGAGTCCCAGGAGGCATACCATGGGTACCTCGTGTGCCAGGTGACCACCAAAGGAACATGGCACCTCATGCCTGGCTTTGTTATCTCTTGCGGCAGAGCAAACGTGGCCCAGCACCCATGAGACCCTTCTGACCACGTGGAAGATCGTGGCATTCACAGCCACCAGCGTGCTGCTGGTGTTACTGCTCGTCATCCTGGCCAGAATGTTCCAGACCAAGTTCAAGGCCCACTTCCCCACCAGGTCAGTACAGTGGAGAGAGCACAGATGAGAACAAAGCTTAAAGGGTCTGGGTCAGCTGTCAGGGAGAGAGCACCATGATGGAGACAGGCCCCATCCCTGCCTCCTTGGGAAGACCATTCTGGAGCAGGCACTAGGAGGACTGGAGGAAACAACCAGGTCAGGAATGCAAGCTATGGACACCTCATCAGGACCATCTCCCTCCTCCCTCCCTCCCTCCCTCCCTGCACCTGCTGTGGCCCTAGATGACTTGCACATCTTCTGGGGAGGTGACAAGATCAGGGATGTTACAAAGCAGAGGTCAGCCAATAGGGTAGGAAGCTTCAGGAGGGAGAAATCAGACAGGGTCTGGGAAGGGATCTGGATCTACAGAGGATGGCTCCCTATCTTCATTGGCTACACCAGAGAGCTCAGGTTAGTGTCCTCACACCTGAGTCCTCCTCACACCAGAGCTGTCCTTACAGCTGAGCATTGTCACCTCACAGTTCTTCTTACCCCTGAGTCAGTAGTCATCCTCATCCCTAAGTTGCCCTCACCATGGTACCTAATCATAAAAACAAGGAATTGAGGTTCATGAGGAAAGGTGAGAAGGAGGCTCCTGGAATCAACTATCCCCTCCAATACAACACACTCCCAAGAGTGTGGAGAGGGAGCAATGTAGCAGCTTCCCAAACTCCACATATCAGGACAGCTTCATCTCACCCGGCAGAGCTCCTGGCAGCAGAGGTACCACAGGCCAGACCTTGTGGGCACCTCACTCTCCCTAGCAGTGTGTGCTGGGTGTGCGGGTCACTTATGTCCTCCCCAAGCCCAGAGGTGTGTCAGCTCCTCCCTGGTGGCATCGCCAAGCCTCTGCTGAGGTTCCAGACCTTTCTTTCTTCTTCTCAAACCTTCCATCCGCTCTCCGGGTCTTCAGCATTATTATTTATTAATCAAGGGACCATGTTCTACCGCTAAGCAATTAAAGGTTCTCAGGAAGGCCAAAGGATCACACAGAGAAAGCCAGACTACACAGCTGTGATTTGTGGTGTATTAGCAGACCTTCAAATAGCCCACAAAGCTATTTTTTTATATATGCTTGGAGGAGTTTTCTAAGATATGGACTATTAGGATGTTTTTGAAATCTTCTCAGGACTCACTTGATGCTCTCACACTGTCCTCTAGTTGTTTAGGGGGAAATTGGTGTCATCTGTCCAAATGGAACACAAGGTTCTCAAGGGCATGCCAAGAACAGACGCCTGTGTTTCCCAGGTCCCCGGTGTTTGAGATCAAAGTATATCAAAGTCACTCAGCATTGCTTGAGCTGTGCAGAGGGCAATGCGGCCTGAGCATGGGCTGTTAGGGTGAGAAATGAGACAGAGGTATCTGCCTGCTCTGGCCTGACAACATGAAAAAACAGGAGCAAGGAGGAAGTTCTGAGTGAGCCAGAAAGGCTAAGGGAAGGCCATGGAATGGCCAGCGGGGAGTGAACACCCATTGTTCCAGGTGCACTAGCAGCATGGGGTCAGAAGCTTGCTCGGCCATCCTTCCTGCCTTCCACCTTCTGGTCTTCTCTCGCCTTCTCTGGCTATCCTTTAAGGACTGTGGGAGCAAGAAGACAACTTTTGCAAGATGTTTCAGACAGCCATGGGCTTGAGGCAGTCCCTCTCATGTTAGTGAACAGCGCAGGCTGATGCCGCCCCTCCCCCTCAAATGCTCTGTCCCTGCATCCCCTGCCCCCGCCCCCCCCCCCACAGCAGAGTTCCAGGCATGGTCACACCCAAACAGATCACCTCCTCTTCCAGCTGTGTCGTCCTCTGGCCTAATCATTCAGCTTCAGTTCCCAACCAATCGACCTGATTGATCAGCACTCGAAGGTGCTTTACTGACTGCTCTGGGCTCTTCTGGGGCCAGGAGCAGAGCCTGGCAGTCATACTGGTACAGATGTTGGTGACACTCATTACCTAGGTCAAGTCCAGCACTGCATGTTCAGAGGGAGATGGGCACAGGGGCCAGGCCGGGAGCTGTGGCCATGACTGACGAGGAAGGGATGGCAGCCTGGCTTCCCTGCCACCTAAAACCCTCTCAGCAACTGTCCAGGTTCAGCCTGGACCACAGTGTAGCACTGGGCCTGAGGCAGCCATGAACCTCGGTCATTGGAATGACACAGTCGGGGCGGGGGGGGGGGGTAACTAGTAGCCCTCCTTTTTATTTCCTGTTGTGTCTGGTCTATCGCTCTAAAAATGAGCGGTGTGGTTTAGTTTGTTTGTTTCGTTTTGACAAAGAAGAAGCCTAATAAGTACAGACCGGCTGTCCCCTGTGGGCACCCTTCGGATGGGGAGTGATTAAAGGGAAACCTCTCTGCAGAACCAGGCCACAGTGCATAGCACACCTGCCGGGGACGTGGGAGGAGAGGCTCTCTCCACACCCCTCCTTACTGGGGTGGAGTGAACCCTGATGTGTTCCCACTGTTTCCTCTGTGCAGGGGCCCGCCCAGGAGTTCCAGCAGCGACCCTGACTTTGTGGTAGTGGATGGAGTGCCCGTCATGCTCCCGACCTACGATGAGGCTGTAAATGGTGGCTCGAGTGCCTTAGGCCCCGGGTACCTGGCCTCCATGGGTCAGGGCTGTCCTCTGCCTGTGGATGACCAGAGCCCACCAGCATACCCCGGCTCCGGGGATACGGACACGGGCCCCGGGGAGTCAGAGACCTGTGACAGCACCTCAGGCTCTTCAGAGCTGCTCCAGAGTCTATATTCATCAACCCCCATGTGCCAAGGGGGCAGCCGCCCTGCCCCGGACACCCCTGACACTATCTCAAGCACAGCAGGGGAGGTGGCATCGACAAGCCCAGGCATCGACATTGCAGATGGTAAGCATTTCCAAGGCTCAGGCTAGCCCTGCAGCGCAGGGTCAGAGCCAGGGACCTGCTTGTTACCCAGCTGTCACTGCTTCCCATTCCCTCTACTTAAAGGGCTATCAACAGGCCAGCTGTGGCAAAGAGTGATTAGTAATGAGTACCAAGTAAAGGGTACCAAGCCATGGAGTTAAAAGGCTAGAGAGTAGAGAGCATTTCCATTTTGGTGCCACCATTTTGGTGCCTTCTTGTCCTTTAACTGAATAGGACTCGTGGTGGTGCTGGGAAGAGCGTCACACACAGGCAAAGAGGAACAATCTAGGTGTGTGCACCAAGCCCCGGCCCATCCACCAAAACTGAGAGGAGGCTGGTTCTTCTGTGCCACCATGCACTCGGGGCCTACCTTCCCCAGGAAGGCCAGTGCAGAGGAGAGTGCTGCCAGCCTCTGCCTGACCCCAGAGAAACGCCGTGTCCATAGAAGTCACTTTACCCAGCGTGCTGTGAAAGAGGCACCTGTCCCCAGGGAAGATGGTAGCCCGTGAAAACGGTGAAATGCACCCGAGGAATCAGTGCTCCACTCCCCAGGGAAGGGAAGCCCAGCACAGCTCTGCAAAATAACGTGTTGATTCCAGAGCGTGGCCACAGTACACAGCAGAAGCAGGGCGCAAACAGGCCAGCTGCCTACCCCTGGCCACCCCCACCCCACCCCAGAGCTCCCTTCCTGTGCTCCAACCTGCCTCTCTGCACTTCAGATTGTAATATTTTGGTCTAAATGGTGGTGAAAGTTTAACATTATCCTTTTTTATGAGCTGGATATAAAACCACAAATTGTTCTGTAGCGGATGGATGGTGTATGGGGGCAGGGGAAGGATGCTGTTTTATCTGACCTTTAATGGGTGCATGGAACTTAGCGTTTTCCTTTCTTCGCTGCTTTCTGGGATCGGAGCTGTTTTAATGAGGCTCGTAACTCCAAACCGGGTAGTTATCAGCCGGACTAAGCAAATAACTCTCTTGCTTTCCAGAGATCCCACTCATGGAAGAAGAGCCCTAGCCTGGTGATGTCCTACTAATCCCACCGTCCCCTTTGGGGACAAGAGCCTTGAACCTTGGAGTGAGGCCACAGGAGGACAGAGCTTGGGGGAGAAGGGGGCATTTTCTGATCTGTGTACGTGGGGACAGTGATTCACACGGTCCATCTCCAGCAGGGCTGTGGGTCTGAGCAGCAGCAGCGGTGGGGCTTTTAAACGAGGATTTGTCATGACCTGCAGGGGGCAGAGAACAGCAGGGACACTCTCCGCATCACCCCCACGACAACACTGAGTGTCTCTCTCGCCACAGAGCGTGAGACAGTGCCACACACACCCCATCCTGTCGCTTCTGTTGACAGCACTGCCCCTGCCCCTCCGAAAGCATGTCACATTGTATAAATTCGCTTTTAAAATCTGCTTTGAACCATCTAGGGACTCTAGATCTGGACAGGCCAGCTTCTGTAGAAAACCCATATTGGCCTGCCAACCCAGGAGCACATCCTTCTCTTTGCCCTTATTAGTAAGGGACAGGCTCCCAAGGAGACACTCTCCAGGGACACTCAGACCATCTCCTACACCTGGACAATGGATCAAAACAGGATGTGGCGGTTTGAATGGGAAAGGAAAGGAAATAAAACAAGCCAGCGGCTCTGCTTTCTGAAAATGTCCTCATGCCAGGCCCCCAGCCCCCACCCCGTCCTCTCTGCTGCCCCTGGTGACATGCATCGGTGTTTGCAGTCGTGGTCTGGCAGTGGACCCGTGGTGTGGGATAAACCTGTGGCTTTACGCACAGTGAGAACACACTCAGATGTGTCTGTGGTGGACCACGTAGCCTGGTGATGTTTGGTTTGGGCATTTCGCAGGCTCCACTCATGTTTCTCTGCTCATGCCTTCCTGTGTGGGTCATTGTATCACATCGCCCCTGACTCTAAATCTTAACCATACTTTTATTTTCCAAAATGGAAAGTTGTGCAAACACACCCTGAAGAAAGAAGAGAGCATAAGTTAGATCTTTTGCCTCTCCCTGCACCCTCCCCCCCCCCCGTTCTCTATTTTGTCCTGCTAAATCCAAAGGCTGGCCTCCCAGCCCCAAGCCACGCTGCCCTCTTGCTTTCAGGATGCCCTTGGCCCTGCTTGCCTGCCATTCTACATCCTTACTGTGAGAGTGTCATGGCACCCATTGGGTGTTGTGCCTAAGCGATTGATTTTCAAAGAACCCAGTCTAGAAGTGTCTCTTCAAATACATGTTGGTCTGTGATGTCGATTCCGTTCCTCCTCTGGGTTTTAGGCAAATATAAACCAAACTCTCATCCATAAAATCACCGTGCTGACAGAGCAGCGAAGGCTGGGAACTTGATCGAGTCCTGTTTTCGCTCAACACAGACTGATTAAAAATTAAAAAGAAAATGACAGCTTGAAGCGTGACTTTAATACCAGAGTGGAGCAGGGAGGGCAGGAAGTGGGTGACAGTGATCATGGGTGATGGAATGAGACACAGGAGGAAAAACACACAGCCGAGGGAGACGCCATAGAAAAAGGGTGGGCCTTGCCGGGACTTTACGCACTGCCACCATCGGTGACAGAGCGGTGCCGAGCCCGTGGTTGCAGCTGTGGGTAATCGCAGATTGCTCGAGTGACAACCTCCTGCTCCCCGTGCCATCAACTCCAATTTTTCAAAAGCGTCGACACGTCACTGCCCTCATGGTGTGTGTCCCGAGGACCTGGGCCCGCCATGGGCAACCTCTACCCAGGAGCCAGACCTTGGCTCTTCATCCTCACCTGCACTCCCTTCCACGGCTGCTCACACAGGTTATGTCCAGGGACGTCCAGGTAAGAATCCCATCTCCCTCGAGGCAGAGCGGAAGAGGCGTACAGAGCTGTCTAAGCAGGACAGCCGTCCGACCTGTACACCAAGCACAGAGCTGCCACCAGGCCCCAGGAAGACAGCAGCAGGTGTCGAGGAGTTCATCCACGCTGTTCTCCTACAGCGGCCGCAGCGTCACCCAAACCCAAGTCACCTGCACCCAACCTGCTGTCGCTCAACCTTGTGTCCATATCAGTTCTTTTCGCCACGGGTGTTATTTATGGTTTATTTTTCCTGCCCTAGTTACTTCTGACAGAAACTGTGAGAGTCCAAGCATGGTGTGGCCCCAACATAATTCTTACAAATATCCCAAAGTCCCCATGCTGTGAGGGCGCAGGTCACCTTCTGCAGACCCCCTCAGTATGGGAACAAACCTGGTAATGGAAAAGGGAACCAGCCAGCACTAGTCCTGTCCTCAGGCTTGGGCAGCTTCATCCGAGTTCCTGCACAGCAGGCCGGTGCTGGCTGGCTGGCTGGCTCCCATCATGAGCGGAGCATAAGTCGCAGGCGTCTTCACACTCCATTGCCATGTAGCTTTTCTTAATTGCAAGGTTGTGATTTGCCTATGTGGGTGCTTCAGGCCCTTTCCCACCTAATTACACCCAGCCTAGCAGCTGGCACGCAGACAAGGCTGCCTTCTGTTACTACAGAAATGCTCCCCAGCCACCAGCAGGTCCAAGATTATCAAACACAAAGAATCCTGATCCACTGCCCATGAGGTCCAGTGGCCTCTCATGTTTCATCCCCCCACCCCCCTTCCCTGCACACCGGGCATTCAAATCCCCTCGCATTCAGACAGCCTCAGGCTGTAGCTGTCACCTCCAGAGGATCATGGGAGAGTGTGGGCTTCATAACCTGCCTCCATGAGCACCGGGCTGTGAGCTTGGATCACTTACTAGCCCCACTGGGTTTTTTGTTTCGTGATGCAGAAATCCAGAATTGTTTCCCTCTGCTTTCATGGCTAGGCTGTGCATGGCGGCTGATGCAAGTCAAGCAATAGGGCACAGAGGGCATTTGAGCCATGGCAGCTGCAGGTTGTGTGAGTAGGGGCTGGCTGTCACACAGGTGGAGCCCCACATTCATTCCCACATATCTTTGACCCACCTCAGTCCCTTTGCCCTCCAAGGTGTTTGCAGATGAGGTTTATTAGGGGCTATCCAAAGCAGAGAGACTGAGATAAGCCACATCTGTTCCTGGAATTGCTCTCCCAGGAGCCCAGCCCAAGCTTTTGTGTAAACGGCCTGTCAGTCCCTGGCCTGTCAGGCCTTGGTGCTTGCTCCCAGACCAGCTTATCTCTGCTCAGGGAGGGCAGGAGAGCCTCAGAAGGCCTCCACCCCCACGAAGACTCTGAGGACTCACTTGTCTCCAGAGGCAGCCCCACAGATGATCACTGACCTGCTTCCTTAATTGTATTGTCTTATTTTGAATTTAAAGCATAAAAGTTAATGCCCGTACATTTCCATGGTGATGAAGGGGAAAGTCCGCAGGTAAAGACAGCTGGTCCAGCAAGCAGAACAGGGCCCTGGAGAGTGTTAGTCACTTGTAGGGAGGATGAACGCTGAGCATGGTGGCCCTCAAACCATAAAACTTAATGTAGAGAGTGTATGTCACTGTGTGTGTGGTTAGCTGCCCTATGGGGCAGAGTGCCACCCCACACTGAGTGAGAAACCAGTCCCCAGGTGCCTTCCGTCTAGCATTCTGAGTGATTGAAGACTACCTACCTGAAAGCAAGCTGGGAACATCCTGAGAGCCTCGTACCTGGGAGAGGCCCGTAGCCTCAGGAGGACTGGCCCGTGGTCCTCTGAGGCCAGCGAAGAATGAAATCCAGCAGATGAAACTGTTGAAGGGACCCAAAGGAATAGACTAACATCTGCCTGGAGGCTGGGAGAAATGTTTGTAGACTTACTATGTGCCGGCCACCTGGGCTCCCTAGTTCAGTGGGCAGTAAGTACTAGGAAACAGACAGCTACCATCCATAAATTGAGGGTGCCTGCTTTTGGTTGAGAGCCACTCCACAAAGGCTTGGGGTTGTGCTAAGGGCCTTAGTGGATTGCCTTGGAGGAGCAGGAAGCCGTTGGAAGTTTTGAAGCCAGGACATAACCAGGATGAGATGGGGGCAAAGTGAGCTGGGCTGAGAGCTATTTTGAAGGCAAATTCAGTTTAGTAGAGCACTGGCCTCAGAGTCAGGGTACGAAGGGTCCCTCCACCCTCAGGTTCCTCACCTATTTGGTGAGAATTGAACACACCTTAAAGATCTCTTTCTGCTCCAAAAGAGCAATCTTCTTGGCTATTTTTTTTTTTTTTTTTTTTTTGGTTGTTTGGTTGGTTTGGTTTCTAATCAAGAATCAAGATTCACCCAGCTCTTTCTGCTCTCCAATCTCTTTTGGCTACTGCTCACTGTTAGTCCTCAACGGAACTCCACTCCCACATCGACAGATGCCGACAGTGGCTCTGTGGAGTCCGTTCTAGCGTGAGGACTTGGGACAATAAAAATCTCACAGAAGTCTATTGGCCTGATGGAGCCCACAGATTTTCATTATAGTTATGTGGCATTGCTGGCTGTAGGGAGTGTGTCCACTTTCCAAAGCCCGCTTTCCCGTCTGTCCCATGGTGTAAGAAAGCCACGCTTCTGCCTAAGGCCCTATTGGTGTGACTGCTGATACAGACTTCCTGTTCATGTAGGCATGGGACCTCTGCCCTGCGTGCTCCCCCCCACCGTGTGTGTGTGTGTGTGTGTGTGTGTGTGTGTGTGTGTGTGTTATACAGGCAACTGAAGCCTTCCAAAGCCTCACACATACTAAATGAGAACTCTACAACTGAGCTAACTCTCTTACACTCCTGGGCTGACCTTGAACTCACTCTGTAGTCCAGGCAGGCTTTGAACTTGAAATCCTCCAAGCTCAGCTGTAGAGTCACTAGTAGTACAGGCCTGTACCCTAAGGCCCGACTCCTTAATAAACCTTTCGTTGTTGTTGTTTAAGAACAGTTGTAGATTTATTCTAAAAACTGCCCAAAAAGTAGAGCACCATAGCCCTGGCTGCCCCTGCTAATGCCCTGCATTTGTGGGGTCAGTTGTCGGTTAAGCAGCTCATATTTGGGACTGTGCTGACTGAACTCCTTAGCTTGCCTTGGTGTTGGCTCTTTTGTGTCCTGCATTGTACAGATTTTCACATGCTTAGTGACATGTGTCCTCTGGGATCATAACACACAGAATCAGTTCACTGTCCCAAGCCTCTTCTATGCTCGGCCTCTTCATCACCTCCCCCACCCCACTAGCAGCCATTTATCCTTCTGATGTCTCTGATTTTGCATTGTCCAGGAGGTCATACAGTGGAAGTCAGTCCTTAAGCCTTCCAGCCTAGCTTTGATCATGCACATGTAAGGTTCCTCCAAGTCTTTCAAAGGAAGAGGAGAACAGCCAAGCTTTTAGACTTCACAGTCTGTTCTTACAGATTTACTGACTCTGGGAAAATGATGAGAGGCTGAGAGTGACATATCTTGACTCCTCCCAGGCCATCCAGTGGTTCCAGGAAAGGAAACACCACAAGGACGTTCAATGCCCCAGGAGTGGGTGGAAGACATTTGATTCTTATCCTCCCTCTCATTTGGTCTTTGGTTAATTCTCTTCATGCATGTGCCATGTACCGTTGTCATGCTTCCCTAAATGCCCTCCAAGCCTCCTGTCAACATGTATGCAATGCTGATGCATGCCTTGTCACCATGTTTGTTGCTGGGGATTCATAATGGGTGTGATGATCTCAGGAGAGCTGCAGGCATGAACAACAGGAAGCAGGAACTGTGCTGAGCACTGGGTGTCTTGTGAGTACTACCCTGGAGCTGCCCAAAGAAGGAGGTACCTGAGCCACTTGACATGAAGTGATCATCTTTTGGGGGTGCGGACTTTCCATTTTCACTCTTTTAAACAGGGCCTCATTGCACGACTCAGGCTGACCTTTGAACTCATAACCTGCCCTTTACCTCTAATAGGATTACAGGTATTCGCCACCACCCTTGGCTACATTAGCCTCCCTTTCTCATACTTACTGGTAGAATCTCAGAACTGGTTGAGACGCTCTGTCTCAGCTATTTGTTAGCCATCACATTGTCACAGGGCTATAGCTCAATGTGTCGTCAGCTGTGAAATATGGGAAGATAATAGGACCTGCTTTGTATAGCCACTGGGAGGGACTCAACTAGCTGATTCATGTAACGTGATTAGAACCACATTTGGCTCAGGTTCATATTTAAGACTGTTGGCTATCATCTTTATTATAATTATGCTCAGACAAGTCTAGCTAGCGTGGCTCACCTCCCCAATTTCTCAGACATTGCTAGCATCCACTTGCTGGATGGCACTTGCGTTGCTCCCTGAATATCCAGGAGGACATATTCTGTTAGTGAGTCATCTCCAGTTTGTACCAACACTTCCTCTGAGCCTATGGTGGCTCAATAGGCCCACTGAGGCACAGTTTTCAACCCGCAGAAAGGCAACCTGAGCTCAAGCCCCCCATCTCCGCTTGTGGATGGGAAATGTGGACAGATCA